TCGGAAGAGACCCCAGAGGTCAGGGGTCAAGGGGAGAGCTGAGAAGGGGCCATGGTGGGTGAGGGGTGGGACAAAACCAGAAACTGCCCAGAGAGTATTCCTGGGGGGCCTGGCCAGCTAGGTCAGTGCTGCTGCTGGGTCCAGAGTGAGCGGTGAAGAGGTGAAGACAGGTGCAAAGTGGACATGGGGGAGCCTGACCCCCAGTGGAGGAGCGGGAGTCAGGAGGCATGGAACTCAGGGGTGGGGGGCACCCCGAGTCAGGAGAGGGGGGACAGAGCAGGGGCCAGGAGGGCGGGAGGGAAGTGCTCCAGGGGGAGGGGGCGGCTCTTAGGGGACTCACCTGGGGAGACAGAGAGGTGGGCTGAGCCTCTGGTGGGAGACTAAGACGAAGGGTGGCGAAGGCGTCTCTGTGAAGCGTGAGTTAAGGTCGTTTCCTGAGGAGCCAGTGTGCATGAGGTGCTCAGGGGCTTGGAGGCAAGAAGGGAGGGTGAGAAGAGCCTCAGAGCAGGGAAAGTGAATCTGCTCACGACCTGGAGCTGCCCTCTCCCAGGCCCCTGGTCGGTTCGCAGACCCCTGGGCAGCTATGCTGGGGTCCCTCCTTCCAGCGAGGCTGGGCCATGTGGTTTTTTCCTGATTCCTGGAGGCCTGACTCCCTGAACTGCACAGCTTGTGGGGTCTTAGTTCCCCCACCAGGGATCGAACTCACAGCTCTCGGCAGTGAAAGCGTGGACTCCCAACCTCTGGACCGCCAATGCATTTCCCAGCCTCCCTCATTTGGGGAGCCTGAGTGGACCTCTGTTTCCCGCTACCAACCCTAAGGGACGGTTCCAGTCCAGGCTCTTACCCTGGTGCCACAGTGCTTTTACCAAATGTTATCAGATGAGCTGCTCTGAAACCCACTGCCCTGGGAGGTTGGAGGGGGGAAACTTTTGAGGCCAAAGAGGAGTGTTTTTCAGTTGGGGTGTCTTAAAGGATGTACTAAGAAAGGGCTGGGAATAGAGTGACATGAATGAGGCAGTTGCCTGGGACACAATATTTAAGGGTGGAGGCAGTAATCAAAGGAAATAAATTTCAATACAATATTTAAAAAAATCTGTATTAAAACAAAACTATCCATGATGGACAAAAAAATGCAAAATTTTAAACAAAGACAGGCCACTGTATTTTTTTCCCCCTCCTCCAGCTGCGCTGGGCCTTTGTTCCCGCACATGGACTTGCTCCAGGTGCCGCTCGCAGAACTACTGTCTAGTCGGGGGCCCGAGCTTCTCAGTGAGGTGGCTCCCCTTGTCGCCGAGCATGGGCTCTAGGGCGTGAGGGCTTCAGGGGTTGTGGCACGGGCCTGGGATCTTCCCAGACCGGGGATCGAACCCATGCCCACCGCACTGGTGGGTGGATTCTCAACCTCTGGACCACCAGGGAAGTCCCCGCTGCTTGTTTTAATAACCCTTGCATGGCTGTTGGTCACCAATTACGTGAGTTTATCTGTTGATGTAGGTAACCTAACCGCTTAGGAAATGTGGGGCTTTGTGTACAGTCTTTTAAAAAATAATTTATTTTTTTCCCACTTGGGTCGACACAGGGGAGGATATTTTCATAAGTATACATGGGGTGCCCATTTTTTCTTTTGGCTTTAGGCTTGGTTGGGGCACCACTTCCTCTAAAGCAAGGGAGGGGGAATTCCCCACTGGTCCAGAGGTTAAGACTTGGACTTTCATTGCCGAGGACCTGAGTTCGATCCTTGGTCGGGGAACAAAACCACTCGCGGCCAAAAATAAACAAAGCGACGGAGGAAGGTGAGCCCCGGAGGAAGGAAAATAGGAATAACTGGTCCGCCCGCTCAGGCTGAGGCTTCTTCTCGCGTGACGTTCCCGCCGCGGCCAGCAGGGGTCACTGTGGGGCTGCTTCACCGGTCCGCTTGGCAGGGAAGGAGACTCAGCCTCTGCCCCCGCGTTCCTGACACCCTATCGCTCACCGCCAAGGGGAGCTGACCCACTTGCTCCGCTCGGTCGGCGACAAGGTTATCCCTCAGCACACAGCAGAAAACAAAGCGCCAGTCAGTGCTCCTGCACCCGGTAGCCCCCTGCCTCCAGCCTGCCGCCCACCAGGACCCGGCGAGCCCTGCCCAGCATCATCGCCTCTGTTCAGACTTTTATCAGCCCCCTCCTCAAGCAGCACCCCTCCCCCAACTATAGGGCGAATCACCAGTTGCCAGTGTCCCCTCTTTGTGGGGTGGGCAGTGGAGAGAATCTTTCTTCAGGGCCGAGTTCCAGAAAAACTCCCATCTCCGAGGCGCCTTCACCACTCTCCGGTCAAGAGAAGTGAAATGGGGAGGGGTTTTTGTTTCTAGAGACTACCCCCCACCTCCAACCACAGATGCCCCTTCTTCTCTTAGTCACAGCCACCGTGGGGACCACAGCCACGCGGTCCCCACCTCCACCCAGAGCCCTCTGGCTCAGCCTGAGCCCGCCAGGGACCACGAGGCCCGAAACCTGGAAGTCTGGCAGTCTCTTCCAAGACTCATCACTCATCTTAGCCAGCTCCCCGCCCACCTCCACCCCGTCCTTTTATTTGTTGCTTCCCAATGACCTGGCGGTCACTCTGCCCTGAGCATTCCCACGTCCCCAGGACCATGGCGTGCATCCTCGTTCTCCTTGTACCTGCCTCGCAAGACAGGTCTCATGTTACACTCCTATTTTAAATTAGAGGTGACCTGTGGCTTAGAAAGTCTGAGTGACTTGCCCAAGGTCACACAGCATAGGGAGACTGTCCCTGCAGAGCCGGGCGCCCTGTCCCTGGAAAACCCTTGCCCTCACTCCATCCTCTCCACCCTGCACGTGCCTGTGTCGGTGGAGCGCCCAGCTCACTTTTGGCCCCAGGTACTGGTCTTGCTTTCTAAGAGCGGAGTTTATTTATTTATTCCCTGGATTGCAATCAGCACCTCTGCTGTGCCAGGTCCAGGCCGGGGAGGCTCGGCCTGCATTCAAGGAGTTCACGGCCCAGGGAGACTTTCCCTGTATGTCAGCTGAATCTTCCCAGGCAGCCGGAGCCCTCCCCAGGGGCAGACGCTGCTTCCTGCTTCCCCTACAGCCCACCCCGGGGGTGGTGACCTCCTGGTCGCTCCTCGGGGAGCTGTGCTGCTGACTGTGGCCGCCATCAGGGGTGGGGGCTGGGCAGGCCTGGCCTGAGGCTGTGGAGTGGGAGACAGAAGGGGCTGGGAGCTGAGGGGTCAGGGTGGTCCTGGGGGGGTAAGGCTTGTAAGGGCAGACCTTCTCAAATGCCCACAGCCTGCCCCACCCATGAACCCCGAGCGGCAAGCAGGGTATGGGACACCCAGCTCAGGTCTGGAAGGTCAAGGCCTCGCCCTTGGCTTGCTTGACTCACTAAACTAGCAGGACCTTCCTTTCCGAACATCTCTCCCTGGAGTCTTCCCTTGCTTATCCTATCCACACCAGGGAGATTTCCAGAACAAAAGGTGAAAAGTCCCCCGGACATTTTAAAACAAGCCCAGACTCCCTTTCTGCCCCGCCCCCCCCAAGAGCCCAGCTTCTAGTCTGTAACTCTGTGATCCCGACTGAATCGCCAGGGGGACCCGCACCACGGTCCTGAGCCCCAGTCAGAGGGGCCCACGACCAGCCAAGGCTGAGACGCAGGTGAGGGGGACCTTGGTGGGGGGGTCACCTTCCAAGAAAAATGCCCCGGTCTTGAACTCAGGCTGGGGAGACAGAGGCGAGGGGCAGATGGCAGGAAAAGACCAAATGAGTGTGCACAGACACAGGAAGAACGAGTCTGTTTAATGACACGGCTGGGTCTGGTTACAAAGGTCAGAAACTACAAAAGGAGGACAGGCAGCTACACGGACGGCTGCACAAAGACGGGAGAGGAGGAGGCAGGCAGTTACCACAGTAGCAAAACATCCTTGAGGACGACACACACGACCCAGGGGTACACAGGGTGGGGGGAATCCCCAGCAATGCTGACCTAGATGGATGGACAGGACCGACCGCCAGCCAGCAGCAGGGGAGGGAAGGCGAGACAGAGGCATCTGGTCCCATTACCATTGCCCTGCCTGGCGGACAAGCAGCCTGGATTCCCTCCCGCTGTCTTAGCGGCAAAGGCAGATGGAGCCTGGCATTCCAGGTTTCTTGACCACGGCTCCTCCCCTGCTGGCTGCAGTCACCCCGTCCAGAACTTCCGGCCCTCTCTGCCTGCCCTGGCCCATCTGGGGGCAAGTCAGGAAGCCACCTCCTTTCGTAGGGGGCAGAGGTAGGGCGCACCAAAACCTTTCTGCCTTGAGTGGAGAGCGGGATGTGGGGAGCCGGTCAGAGAGAAGGGTCTGGGCTTTGCTGGCGAGCTGCATCGCCCCCGCCCTGCCACATGATCTTCTCTGTGCCTCTGTGGGACCCCCGTCATCTCCTCCAGAACACTCTGATCTCTGCCCAGAAGCTGCCAGGACCCCTTGGTGGGCAGAACTGAAGCCTCATATGTGCCTCTGGGCCCCACTGTACACATTATAAGATATGTATGTATATATATATATATTTATATAGAGATTGTATATAGAATATATCTGTATATGCGGTAGACGTGTGCGTGGTACTCTAGATAAGTGATGCGGAGACCAGACCCGCGTGTGGCCAGGCAGATAGAAATAGGCCTCTTCGTTCCTCGAGTGACTCACAGACCTGTCCCTGATCCCGCTGGTCTCTGACAGTGAGTAGAAAAGCTAAGAAGGGTGTGCCCGGCTCTTCAAGGAGGGAGGGTCCCCCATCCCCACAGGCCACCCGCTTTGGCGCCCTTGGAGTCGGCATCCGGGTAGCCAGCGTCACCTCCTGGTGGCCCCAGGGGGGACTGTGGCCCAGGCGGAGGCAGCCTCTTTCCAGGAAGATGAGTCAGGGATTCTTCCAGCTTCCTTGGCACCCGAGATGGAAGGTCAAGGAGGGTCTTCAGAACTCGGCCTTCTGCTCAAGGTGCTGCCAGGGATGGGGGAGAAGAAGGGGGTCCTATGGCCCCGAAGAGGGCAGCGTGGCCGGTGGGCTGCGGATGAGACAGAAGGAGGTGACAGGTTACTAGGGCCTCAGTGTGGGGCCAGGGAACCTTCGCGGAGGGGCCAGGAGTCAGGGACTGGTGAGACAGGTACTACCCTCCCGGAATCTCACGCGGGACCCCTGAAAGGAGCCCACTACACCCAGCTTCTAAGGCCTTCTTCTGCCAGGAACCTGCGGTACGACCTCCGCCAGCCCCCTGGACCTCATATCTTTTTCTCTAAATCCTGAGTCCTGCCTGCAGTGCCCACCTCTGTGAGAACGGAGTGCTAGAACTGCCTGAAAGTGTTTCACAAACTGCAAAGAACCGTACAAACATGAGCGCCTGTCCTCAGTTCTGAGACGCGCACACTCCCAGGTTGGCCTGTGGTGCCCTCTCGGGCCACCCACGGGCATCCCCTTTGCACTCACCACCCCCCACCCCCCACTGCCACCTCCTGACTACCCCCCATCAAACACACACACACACACCCGCACACGCTCACACACCCACACACACCCTAAAGCAGAGACAGTTCAATAAACAGTGGCGTCTGGCCCACTGTTGAGTCTCTGATAAGAGAGGCTGGATGGAGGCCTTCTAGAACTCTGCCCTGGAACTCCGTCCCGCCCTCTGAACCCATTTGGACCCAGCAGTAGCTGGGTCTGCAGGCCCTGGGCCCAGGGAGACACACCCTCTTGGGGGCTGCATCTGTGCCCCACGGAGACCACAGGTGGCACTCGAGTGTGGAAAGGGATGAGGGGATTCCCTCAGAAACGTGGGGTGCTGGGGCCCAGGAGGGCGCAGGGCCCTGACCAGTCCCCACAGAGGCCCTTCTCCATGGAGCCCACAGGAGCCGAAAGGGGGGAGGCGGGAGATTTCGGCGGTTTCCTAATGTTTAGGGTTTGGCAAGATTTCAGTCCCAGGGGTCCGGCTGAGGCAAGAGAGGGGAGGCGACGGGGCTTCGTGTCGGGAAATGTTGTCCATGTGGTTCTGATTCACTCGCACCGGCCAGCTCTCTCTCCCTGGCCCTCCAGGCCCCTATAAAAAAGCCCTTTTCTCTAGAAGCAGGAAGTCTCCTCTCTTGGCTGTAAACAAGCTCATCTTTGGCGGCAGAGCCTGCCTGGGGAGAGGCGTGGGAGGGCAAGCCCCCTTCCCCCTTCTGACCCTTTCTCGGCCCCTCCGGCTGCTTCCGGAAGCTCTGCAGGCCCTGCCAGCACCTCCTGGGCAGGTAGAAAACCGCCTGCCGGCTTCCTGTCCATCCGCTCTGAGGTCTGGGCCCGGCCAGGGCCCAGCTGCAAACATCTGGAGCGGCCCCCTGGCTGTTGCCAGCAATCCCCGAGGGCTCAGCTCCCTCGAGTGGTCCTGAGGCAGGGAAGAAGGGGGGGCCGGGTGGTCAGTGGCAGGAAAGCCGGGAGGCAGGGCCTCGCCAGGCTGCCCTCAGAGGACCTGAGCTGCACGGGGACGTCTGCGGGTAGAGGTCCGGCCGGCCCCGTGGGCCAGCTCCCAGCTTGGAGCCCCGGGGGTGGGGGCGGGGACGCCACCTCTTCCCTGGGAAACTGCTGGGACTGTTTCTCTCCAACGCGTGTCCCGAGCCTCTGGCTGACCCCTGCTTCCCATTCCCTTCCCGCCCCCGCGCCTCTCCCCCCCTTCCGCCTCCAGCCCAGCCTGGCCTCCGCCCCTCCATTGAGCTCCCAGAGCCCCAGCCCCACGGGGGCCCAGGGAGGCTGGAGTGTTCCCAGCCGCCACGTCTGGGGGCCAGCCCTCCCCGCGTGCTCCAAGTCAGTTGGAGTCACTGGGAGGCCGCTGGCCACCCTCTTGGAGCCCGTCCCCGGGGCCCTCACCCCAGAACTGGGAACGTGGACTCTGGAGTCAGCCCGGAAGCAATCCCCCCTACACTCGCCCTGCTGGTGTGCGTGGGAGGGACACCCACGCTGGCCCGGGTGGGCTCGGCACGTGCGTGCATCCCCGTGATTCTCCTGGCTCCGGCCTGCTTGGAGGCCAAGGCGGGAGGGAGCGCTGGTCAGCACGAGATGAAAAACAGCCCCATGTGATGGGTACCCAGGGAGGAAGTGGCCAGAGCTGGCCTGGACCGCCTCTGGGTCTGATGAGCCAGCCTCCTGCCAGGAACCTTTCGAGCCTCTCTGCCTGGGGCAGCCTCGGTCTTGGGGTGCTCTGCGTGCCCCCCTAGTTCTAGGGGAGGGGGAGGCTCTGCCCGAGGAGAATCTGTCTGGGGCCCTTGGCATGAGTGGGCCTTTTCCTATTGTGCCTGTTCTTCTCTGTGTCCACTCCAGAGCCACCCGCCCTGGGAGTGTCCCTGCCCTGGAGGGCGGTCAGCCCCTGGGCGCCAGGAGAGGTGGGAGGCCGGGGGACAGGGGAGGACACGGCAGGGAGCGCTGCCTCCTCACGTGGTGGCGTTGGGGACCTGCTGTACCCAGCCCACTTCCTTGTAGGCAGCGGTCACGTGGCTGTAGATGAGGCCGCGAAGTTTGGCCCAGGCTCTCTGCGTCTCGGGAGGGAAGTCATTGGCAAATTCCTCGGCGATCACCTCCAGGATGACTCCAGAGAGGATCTGAGAATGAAGAGAAGGAAGGGGGGAGTGAACCCCCGGGGTCCCCCCCGCCGTGCCCCCTGCAGCCCCCTGAATCCTGTGGTTGGCTGAGGGCATCATTCAGGACCCAAGTGCCTGACAGCTTTGGGAACCAGACACCCTCAGGACCCAGCCCCATCCTGCTGCCCCTCCCAGGGACAGCCACGCCAGGGGACGAGGCTGGGTGGCCCCCCTGGCTGTCGCTGGCTGTGGGGCTCGGGAGCTGAATGGGGTTTGGTGTTGGGTGGCAGCACCCATCCAGGGACCCACCTTGAAGTACACGGGCTCCACCTTGTGCTTGAGGGCATGGGCTTTGCCCACCAGGGCGAGCACAGAGGACACCTTCTCGGGGTCGTGCAGGTTCTCCACCACCGTGTTGAGGGCCCCCATGACCCGGCAGGCGTGCTTCCGCAGCTGCGGGCTCCGCTCCATTTCCAGGGGCTCCTCCATGTGCTTGAACTGGCTGAAGTACTGCTTGGCCGACGGGAAGTTTACAAAGAACCTGCAGGAGGCAGCAGGTGGGCGCTGAGCAGGGGGGCGGCCTTGGCCCCCCACCCCCCCAAAGTGCCTGGATGATGGGGAGGGGAGCCTGGTCCACAGGTGGAAGAGGGTGATGGGGGAGAGGCAGGACCCACTCCCACACCACCGCGTGCAGCCATCCCTCAAACACCAGCCCTTCCTCTGGCCAAGCTGGTTGACATGAAGCCCCTCCCTGGGTCCCGGCCTTTTGCATCAGTCAGATCTGCATGTCCTCTCCCGGGTCTCTGCCTTCCTTGTTCCGCTGCCTCTTGCCTTCCTCCCAAATGCCACACGCTCTTCAAGGCCTGCTCCAGTTGCAGCCGAGAGGGTAAGAGCCTGCCTTCTGGGAATCACGGGCTGGTGTTGATCTGGGGGCAGTTAACTTTTCTGAGCCTCAGTTTCCTCATCCATGAAATGGGCATCACTGCTCCTTTCTTGAGAGTCCTTGTGGGATGTTGGGAGGAGGCAATGAGAGAGCACAGTGTGGATGTAGGGTGCTCGGTAAAGGCCTTTGTTATGATAAGGTCAGAGCTCTCTTCCTAAACAAGGAAAGGCCCCAACTATGACTTAACTCCAGTCACAGAAGGGAAGGGAAGAAATGAGACTCAGTCCTCCCCCCAGTGCCGTCCCTTCCCTCTTCACTACCCCGCCACCCTCCTCAGCCTGCAGTAAACAGTCATCGGTTGATTTAATTAGAGATATGGCTTGATGTCACCTGCCTGGTGTGGTTCTGTAAGTCAGTTCTGTCTGTCTGTACATTTGTCTTCTCCAGCCAGCCTGTGCACGCCTTGGGGCAGACCTAGGGTGATCTACCCCTTCCCTCTCGGGTTTATCTGCAATTGTCTAATTCCCCCCAAATATCACATTCACTATGCAAGAGACCTGGGTTCAATCCTTGGGTGGGGAAGATCCCCTGGAGGAGGGCATGGCACCCCGCTCCAGTATTATTGCCTGGAGAATCCCATGGACAGAGGAACCTGGCGGGCTACAGTCTAGGGGGTGCAAAGAGTTGGACATGGCTAAGCACACAGCACGTCACATTCACTGGGTCGCTCTCCAGCTCAGAAACATTCCATTACTCACCATTGTTCTACCAGACAAAGTCAAAATTCCTTAAGATTCCACGCTTCTTAGAAACTGTCCCACACCTGCTTCTCCAACATGGGGTCCACATTCTGCCCCATGCTCCAGCCCAACAGCATCAATAAAAAAATTCCTCGGGTGAGCTGGCCTGTCCTTCCACAGTGGACCACCACCCTCCCTCTTTCCCCATGTCAGTCGGGCCTCTTCCGGAGCATACAGTCAGGCCCAGGGTGACTGTTTTCCTTCCAAGGCCATCAGTGGGTTCCCTGCCACCTTTCACGGCTTCTTCCCTTTCTACCCGTCTGGGTCCCATAGCCCCAGAGCAGAGCCTGGGTCTCACGCAACCTCTGACCCTTCACCCTGGCACAGGGCCCTGCGGTTTGCAGGATGGTGGTGATGACATTTGCGCTCCATCTCCCAGTCGGGACAGGGAGGTACATGGCCAGGCTCAATCAGAACTTATGTAACTTAACTGAAGCCTCAGAAAAAGGATGGACTGTCTTGGACCTGTTTTTTTTTTTCAGGTTGTTTTCACACCTTTGGAATGTGCCCCTTTGTGATCAGAGAGAATTGGTAATTTGCTAAAATGACCATTGGGGCAGGTCTCAGATCTGAGAGCTGGAGTAGATGCAGGGAGAGCATCTGGCCCCCACCACCCTTTCAGGCGATGAGACGGAGGCTGGTGGGGGAGTGACCGGGACACAGTCCACATGGAGAGCTGGGAGGGCCCCTCTCAGAGGCCAAGTGTGACCTTGGGCAAATCGCTTCACAACCTTCTGTCTGCACAAGTGTGAGAGCAGTCCCCGCACCCCTGCTCGCTACTTCACAGATATACTGGTGAGGACAAATGAGGTGACGGGTCTGAAAACACATTGGAAAAAAGCATCACAGTGAAGGATAGCTATGAAAAACGCAATCTAGCTTTAAATGGGGAATCTCTGACTTTGGAGGTCTTACACGGCAATAAGAATACTAATTTTGACTTGGTGGGTGAATAACAACATGCAGAGCATGTCCACTTGTTATTTCCTTTAATGCCACAACCAAGTGGGCATTATGTCCATTTTACTGACGAGGAGGTAGCAGGGACTATTTATTGAGCACTTACTATAAGAACTCATTAATCCTTGGGATACTGTCCTGAGGTTGGCACTGTTTTTAGCCCCATATCCTTAATGAGGAATTGCTGCCCAAGGTTGCCCAGTGGAGTGGGTAGCAGGACCAGGAAGGAGCTGGAGCAGCCCCCACATTGATGACCTCCCTAGTCCACCTCAGAGGCTGCTCTTCCGGGGATGGTGGCCTGGGACCCAGTGGGTCTGCTGCTCAACAACACCCAGTGCCATGTTATGGCCCTGAGGAAGGATGGTCCTGCCAGGTTCCTCTTCTGAGCTATGAGAGTCTAAGGGCCTGAGCTCTGCTCCTTCATCCTGGGGTCTCTCCCAGGCCCCCTGTGTTTACTCCTGACCCTCTCAGTCCTGGCCTGCGCTGCTGCTGGGAGAAGCCTCAGCAGCCAGCCTTGGGGAGTTTCTCAGCTTCCAGAGGCATCTGGGCTTCCAAGAGAGCCTGAAATAGGCCTGTCTGCACGTGAGGGGGAAGGCGGCAGTTACAACTGGGAGGGGAGCCTTCCTTGAGCATGGGTGTTCCCTCTTGGTCTCCTCCGGCAGGGAGGGGGGTGTGGGGTCTGGGTGGCCCTCTGCTACCTTCCTTACATCTGCTGCCTCCTCAGGGGATGAGACTGGCCCCAAGGCTACTGTCTTGGGCTCCACCTGGCCTGTGGATGGCCCGTGAAGACAGGACAAAACTGGGGGAGTGCAGGATCTGGGGAGGGGCCTTATCTGAGAAGCGTATCAGTCTTGCCCCCTAACACCGCCCATCCTGGGGCAGACAGCAGGTGCAGGAGTGAAAGAAAAGGGAGGCTGGTGGGATGTGGGCTGAGGGAGGGTCTGCTCCACCAGCTTCTCTCCCAGGCTGGGCTGGGTTCCTGGCAACAGAGGTGGGGTCAGATGAAGTGTAGCCGGGGTTATCAGCAAGCCAGATCTAACTGCTATCTCGGTCTTCCTTCAGCCGCTCTTCGTCTCTTGGGTTAATTGTGGGCCTGGGCACTTAGTAAACACCTCTCCAGCCCAACCCAGTCCCCTCTGAGGAACTAGCTCCCCCCAGGGAACACAGAGGGGCACACAGAGAGAAAGAAAACCTTGCCAAGAGCTCAGACTCTCCAGAAACACCTCGGGGTTCAGTTCCTTCCTCGGCAATCCTCCTGGGGAAGTTGGGTGGGATCCCAGAAGCGGAATTGTGGACATATCTCCTGTGCTGTGCTTAGTCGCTCAGTTGTGTCCGACTCTTTGCAACCCCATGGACTGCAGCCCGCCAGGCTCCTATCTATGGGATTCTCCAGGCAAGAACACTGGAGTGGGTGGCCAAGTCCTCCTCTACATGTTCTTATTGGCAAATGGCAGGGTGTCGGGACAAAAAATAGCCATGGTCCTGTTAACCTCGCCTCATTTCCTCCTGGTGACCCGTGTGAGTATCCGCATGCATCCTGAGGCCTGAGTGCTGAAAGATGCCCCCCTGGGATGCAGTCTGGCGCATCTGTGACTCTTCGACCCACCGTGTGGGTGCACGATTGTGCAGAGATGCACCTCCCATGTCTGATGGCTTGGGAACCTGAAATCCCCTCTTACCTTCCCCACCACCCTGGCTGTTTCTGAGCCTGGGAGCTGCCCAAATAGCTGTCTCTTCCTTAGGCGCCTTCTTGGAACTCCTCAAGAGTGCTGTTTGCTCTTTTTTTCCTCCAAAATCTGTTTCTAAGTTGGAATCAGGGCACATCATTATGGAGCTGGGTAGGTCCCAGGCTTGGGGGAGGCAGAAGGGAGAGAGTGTGGGAGAAAAAGAGGAGCCAGAGATGGGGCCAAGCCTGGGAGACAGGCATGCACTTCAACTGTCCTTTCCAATGGGAGGTTTCACCCCATCTTTAAACCAAAAGACTGCCCCGATCTGTCCTAGATTTGACAGCTTCCCTCTGCCAAGGACAGAGGGCTTAGGGTGAGTGTGGGTCTGGGCCTCTCTGCCTGCACCCCCCAGGGACCAGCATGTGTGGGAAGAGAGCAGTGATCTGGAGCTGTAGTCAGGTACTAGCGTGTGCGCTCTGTGGGAGTGGCGTGCATGTGCACTGGTGTGTAGGCGTGTGAACAACAGTGTCACTCTGTGTGCATCCCTTGGGGGCATGTGGTTCCTAAGTGACCCCTGAGCCCGAGACCCACGACCTTTCCTCCCCAGACCCGGGGCTCTGTCTCTGAAGGACGAGATGGGGCCCTGTCTCTGAAGCTTCTCCCCTTCCCTCCATCAAACTCAGCAGGGACTGTATCTCAGGGGACTATTTACTTCTCCACTCACCTGCATCTCACCTGGGAGCTCCCTTCGGGCCTGGCCCCAGGGGCAGGAAGGGACCAGCTGGGAAAACGGGACCTCTGGGGGCCACTTCTTCTGACCTCTATTCTTTTGCCCATTGCACAGCCCTTCCAAGTCTTTGAATATGGAAAGGGGCTGGCTGAGCTGGAGAAAAGGGTTCGCTCCTCTTTGTCCTCCTTGGCTGATCCTCAGTTTTCTTGTCTCTAGAATGGGGAGCCTCCACGACCCCCATTGGAAAGGCCTTAAAATGTGTGTCCAAAACAGCTGTGGGTGGCTGGGGTCGCGGCGAGGAAGGCAAGGCTGGCTGAACCAGGAGTTCTGAGGCCCGGGAGAGGAAGGGGAAGGAGGTGCCTTCCTTCTGTATCTGGTTCCTAGTTCCTGGTGAGCCCCTCGCCCAGAGCTAAGAAGGGCTCTGCCAGGGCTTCGCCCACCCTAAGCCGCCCCAGGCTACCCGCAATCCCCCGACCGGCTCGGGCCCCAGTCGCAGCTGGGAAGGTGGCGCCTGAGCTCGGACCCGGGCCGAGCCCCCCTCTGCCCGGAGCAGCTACCGCCGTCCCTCCCCCGGGCCCGGCCGGGCCGGGGCGACACCTACCTCACCAGGATGGCCACCCCCACGTCCTCGCAGTTGGCATACAGCCGGGCCCACGTCGCCTGCACCGCCTTCCTCTCCGCCTCGGACAGCTCCTCGCTCCGCTCCCTGCGCTCAATCTCCATCTCGCCTGGCACTTTCTCCATGAGCAGCTTCAAGCCCAGCCCGGCTTCGCTCGGCGGCGGCGGGGCGCGGGGCGCGGGGCGCGGGGAGCCGGGGCCGGCTGCGTGCGCGGCGGGCGGGCGAGTGGTAGAGCGCGCCGGAGGGAGGGAGCGTGTCTGTCTGTGCGCGCCGGGTGTGTGTGTGTGTGTGTGTCTGTGTGCGCGCGTGTGTGTAGGGTATATGTGCAGGGGGCGGGGGACCGCGAGCGGGGGGCGGGGATGTGGTCTGCTGGAAAAAATGTGAAAAAAAAATAAATCCGCTCCAAACCCCCAAACTCGTGTCCGTGAGCCAATTCCGGCAAGGTGAAGGCTGGGCGGGGTGGGGGCGACGCGGCCGGCGCCTGCCCGCCCTCCAGACCGGAGTTTGATGGCCGGGCGGGGCTGGGGCGTAGGTGTGAGGGTACTGGGGGTCCCGGGAGGAGGCGGCTGGCAGACACCGGGCGCGGGGTCGCGCGGGCCGCACAGGAGTGCGCCGCGGCGGGTGCGGGGCTGGGGGCGTGTGTGCACCCTTCCCGCCAAGGGGAACTGACTCTGAATCAAACACTCCCGGGTGTTTGCGGCGTGGCTGCGAGCCTGAGGGGGCGGACGCGAGCCCCTCCGGCAGCGCCGCGGTGGGAGCTGAGCTCTGGCTAGACCCCCCACCTTCCCCGAGCCAGCCGCGGGGCCCTGGCGCCACCCCCAGCGCTCCGGACCCCAGACTCCGAAGGGTTTGGGACTGGGGTCATCTCCCTGCTCCAACACACCTTACAGGAAAACCCCGGTGCGGAGACAGGCGGGCGGCTGTCGAACTTGAGCGGCCAAGAGGCCTGAGCCCCTCTTTCCTTTCCCGCCAGCACCCCTGCCCCTAGGTGCACGCACGTGGCCTCAGAAAAAAAGGCCCTGGAGACCCTGGGTGACTTACCAACTACACAGGCAGGCCAAAACCTGGCTCTCCCCTAATGCTGGCCCTGGAGGAACGAAGTTTGAAGGAGAGGGAGCTGACTGGGCAAAGAGGCCCTGGGTGGGGATGGTGGGATGTCAAGAAGTCCTGGGGAGGGCCGGGAAGCTGGAGCCATCTCAGCTGCCAGGGCCTGGGTTAGGGAGGGGTTCTGTGGGTGAAGAAGACAAGTTCTTGTCCTGGTGGGATTCTCAGGGAGGCGCGATTGGACCAGAGGTGGGGACGGTACCTCTGAGAGCCACCCATATGGTGGGGGTCCTGCCTCTGACTCCCAGCTGAGGCCAGAGGCTGCAAGCATCTGAAAGCTGCGAGGGCACTCGTCGGGTGTATCCAGTTCTCTCTAAGGCTTCCTGGTGACCCTGCCTATTCAACTCTGTCTACTGCTCAAGTTTAGCAAGAGGCGTAGCTTGGCTCTTCAGCTTTGGTTGATGTGCTTCTTTAAAAAATCGTGTTTCCAAGTAGAGCGCCCTGGCACAGACCCAGGTCTGGGCCTTGATGGAGTCCAGGGTCCAGGTACCTTGCTGGAACCCTGGGCAGGAGGTCTCTTGCCAACAGGTCTCAGCTGAGGGAGGGCAGTGCCAGTGCCCTCCTCCGGGAGTCTTGGAGAAGGATGGAGGAGAATGGGTGGGCTCAGCTTCTTGGGCCACTCTAGACCCATGTCCTCGCTTTTGATCTGTGCTCCGCATGCTGCCTGGAGCAAGGCAGAGCACGCTGTGCTGGGCCACCTCAGAAGCTCCTCTGAGAGCTTCCCACGGCCAGTGCAGTGGCCTTCCAAATGGCGGCCCAAGAGATTCCCCTGGGATGTGGACAGAAAGTAGGAGAAAATTACTTTTATCTCAACCTTTACAAGCTTTATGTATGTCTCTGGTGGCAGGACTGTATTTGTACAGTAATATGGTGTATAATTTATGAGTGGATGCATATGATTCCTTTATGAGTGCACCCGTGTGTGTCTTTCATGAGTGCACACTTAAATTCTGCTTTTTGCTGACGAGGGTATGTAATCAGAAGCACTGGGTGAGGACTGTCCAGAGGTTAGACGTGAACCATTTAGCCAGCCCAGCCCTTCACTCCCTGGCCTCCCTTGTCTTTCTGGCTTCATCATCTATATTCTTCCTCTCTCTTCCTCCCCTCCTGATACCTCCCCTGTGACATCATGCCTCCACCAATACTCGAATTCCAGTTGCTGGAACATGCCTTGAGTTTTCACGCCTGCAGCCCTGGCAGAGTCTTCTGTCTGGGGGCCCACTCTTCCCTGAGCCCCTGCAAATTCAGCCAAGATGAGAGAGCCCAACTTCTCTCTAAAGTGTCTCCTGATGCTTGTAATTCTCAGAGAGTTCTGTAGGCGTCTTTAATCGCCTGAGTCTCTCCGCGGTGGGTGGTGGCCATTTGTTTAACTTGCCAGGGAGTTTGTTTTAGACTCTAAGCCCCTAGAGGGCCAGGCCCAGGGCTTAGTCATATCTACATTCACAACAGGCAGAGGGTGATTTACCCTGCCACTGGGGGGACAACCTGGGTCCAGTGAGGTTAATCAGGCTTCACAAGGTCGGGTCTGCTGACCCCACTAATCAGCTTGAGCCTCCTAATCCATCGCCAGCAGGAACTTCAAGACGGAGGGCAGGGGCTGGGGAGAGCTGGCGGGGGCCACCTTGGCCTTCTCCTACAGACTCGGTCCGGAGGGGATGGGGCAGCTGAGACATGTGCACCACCCTCTTCCTGCTCAGCACCTTGGCCATGCTCTGGCGCCGCCGATTCGCCAACCGGGTCCAACCGTGAGAAACTCACTGGGCCATGGACTGGGGGGGCGGGGGGGGGCGGGGCGGGGAAACAATTGGGCTGAAGTCGGCAAGGGCTGCCTGGACTCAGCAGGGAGGCTGGGAGGGACTTGCTGGGGAGCCCTGAGAGGCTTCCCCTTGGAGTAGGGGGCACTGGGAGTTCTTGGAAGATGCTGGCTGCAGCCTCTGGTCCCCAGAACCCACTATGGCTTAGGTCTTGCAGAGAAGCAGGAGAGGGGCCTGGGGTCCAGGGTCTGGGGTCTGGGATCCAGGTGTTGCCCACAGCTCTGCCGACCTCTTTTCCCTCCTGCAGAGAGCCCAGTGGAGTCGATGGGGCAGTTACGGGCAGCAGCTTGGAAACAGACCTCCAGTCCTCAGGCAGGTGAGGCAGAAGAGACTGGAGTGGAGCAGGGAGGCTGTCAGGCGTAACTAAGGAGGCTGCCACTGTCCCTAGTCCCTGCCCAGGCCCTGGGGTGTACGTGTGTGAGTGTGTGTGTGTGTGTGTCTGTGTGTGTATGCGCTCCAGGCTGGCCCCTCACCCCAGCTCGCCTGTTCCCTGTGTGCCTATGGTAGGCTGAGTGTCTGTTTTCTCCAGCTGGGTATGGGAGTCCCAGTCTCCCCTCGTGGACCCAAACTGTTCTGTCTTGCGTGTCCGAGTGTGGGGTGGCCCCCAGGGCCCCCCTGTTGGGAGGCGCAGGGGGAGTGGAGAGAGGGAGGAGGCAGCAGCAGCTCTGTGATGCTCGGCCTGCCTTCCCTTCCCCCTCCCTCTCCCGGCCCCCGCCCAGTCTCGGCAGCTCCGCTGCCTGAGCCTCCAGCAGGATTCGCTGTCCGGTCCCCAATAGAAGGCGCGGGAGGCGCATGACATCACCGCCACCGAGTGCCATTGGCTGGGCAGCCCTTGCGGGCAGGACGCTGTCTCCAGTGGCCAGAAAGTTAACTCTTCCCTCTTCTGAAGCCATGTGGCCTTTAGAAGGGGTGAAGCTAGGGTGGGGGGGAGGATGTCTGGACTTCTCCTTCCCCAGGTGACTAATGTCCTTTGATGAGAGGGGCTCTGTGGCCAACAGCACACTGAAAACTGAACAGCATTTGTTAGGGACACGCTGTGGGAGACAAGGGTCTGTGCCTGCGGGCCCACCTGGTGCGGAGGCCTAGCTGCAGAGGGATGTCCCCTCCTGCAGCAGCTTCTCTGGAGCCCTGCACTGCCGCTCTCACTCCCCGTGAAAGACGCAATGTGGCGGCCTTGGGCTGCGGGACCCTGGGAGCAGGCTGCCTCCCCACAGGGCTCAGATGGTAGAGACAGGCAGCATGTGCACGCACGCTTGTCTGAGAGCCCCACGTCTCGTCCAGGGCGTGGGGGACGTGCCTGTGGTGTGACCCCCAGATAGGTCGAGATGGGCAATAGAACATGAGTCTTTCTCGGTGTCTCTGCCCTGACTTCTCAGTGGTTTGGAATGTCAGAAGCATGTTCCCTGGCTCCCTGCCCACCCCCAACTCCGTCTCCCCTACCTCCCCTGGGTCCCCAGGAAGCCCAGGGCCTGTGCAGGAAGCAGAGTCACTTCTGCGATGCCCTTCCTCTTAGTTTCCCGACTGGGGATCCAACCTGGAAGGCGGTGTCTTACCACTGCTCCTCTAGGAAAGCTCCCTGGTCCTCACTGTTGGGTTTGGGTCTAGAGTGGGGCAGGCATGCGTGCTCAGTTGCTCAGTCGTGTCCGATACTGGGCAACCCCATGGACTATAGCTCACCAGGCTCTTCTGTCCACGGGATTTCTTAGGCAACCACAGTGGGTTGCTGTTTCCTCTGCCCGGTGATCTTCCCGATGCAGGGATCGAACCCATGTCTCCTTCATTGGCAGGTGGATTCCTTACCACTGAACCACCAGGGAAGCCTGGAGTGGGGCAGCCTGAGTTTAAATCCCACCTCCCCTTTTACTGAGAGCCTGTGGGCGAATTATGTAATCTTTTTATTTATATGTAAACTGAGATTAATAACAGAGCGGTTACAAGGTTTCTGTGAGGTTTGAGTGAGATAACCATTATAATGCACTGGGCACAGAGTAACTGCTCAATTAACACCAGGTTCTCTCTTGCTGTTTTAAAATCAGTGCTTTATTCTTCCCCGGGGGCTCTCTTCCCCAGGGGATCTCACTCAGAAGATCCCCTGGCCTCAGAGGTCTGGCACTTCAAGTATTTCTGGGTCTTGCCAAGGTTGCAGGAAACTGAGGGAGAGGGAGATGGAGATGACTTGCTTGAGGCCGTCCGCGAAGTTTGTGGTTGATGTGGGACTGGCAGGTCTCTGACTTCAGAGTCCATCTCCTCCACATGAAATGCCCCTGGAGCTTCTGTCAGGAGAGAAAAGGCCAAATCTGGGACCATCTGGCCGGGCCTGGTCTGCCGTGGCCTTGCCAGGACTGTTAACTCTTTGGGACTCAGTTAACTGGAGAAACTGGTCTCCCATCTACCCCTCCTGATGATGGCAGCTCCATGGAGGGCTGGCCTGGGGGCGGGGAGTGGGGGGGGCATGGAAGATGGGGGGTGCTCTCCATTCCACTGTCGTTAATTCCAGCTGGCTTCTGGGGGACTCCTGCTCCTCTATTGTAGGGTGAATCATTAGGTGCAGGGGTGGGAGAAAGGGGAAGACTGGAAACAGGGGCAGGTCTATCCCTCCAATTCTCTGACTCCGTGTTCTTTCCTGTTTAGGGAGAAAGAGCCTCTGAAGTAAGCCCTGGTCTCTTGAGGCGGAGCTCAGCCCCAGGGCCTGGGATCAGCTGGCCACGGCAGGTAGGGCAGGGTCTGTAGCCTCGAGGGCCGAGAGCAGGGCTGGGGACACGGCGGGAAGGACAGAGTCCATGAGGCCTGGCCGCGTGGGAGCGGAGCAGGCTGTGGTCACCACGGAGGTTGAGGGTAGGAGGGTGGACTCCTTCTGGCGGCTCCTGCCCGGACCCTGTTGTGTTCCAGGTCACAACATAAGGGTTAGTTTTAAGAGAACAAGGGGTCATCTCAATAGCATTTTCTAGGCCTGGGGATGAGGTGGCGGTCCTGCTGGGGGCCTGAGGGCTGTCTAGATTACTTCTCAGGGAGAGGCAGTGCTCTGGGATTCCACTCTGAAATACAAGCCCCTGCTCTGGGATGGGACAGCCAGCCCATCAGCTGGGTTTTCTCTTTCAGCTCAAGTCCCGGTGTGCCCCCCACCCTGGAAGGACAATGTGCTGGAAGCAGCAGCTGCAGGAGGGGGACCAGGGGAAGCAGTTGTCGAGAAGGTAGACTCCCCTTTTGGCCCGGACCGCTGGTCTGCACTGCCCCAGGCCCTGGTATGGGGCTCCTGGAGAAGCGGGCCTGTCCGGGCAGGTGGGAGGGGCGGAGGAGCTTGAGCTCTGGGACAGGCTCCCTTCCTTGGAGGCCACCCAGAGAGAGGGACTCAGTAGGGTGCCCCAGCCCTGTTAACTCTGGGGCAACAGGAGGGAACAGTAAGGAGTGAGGAGACTCCAGAAGTGAGGGACAGCGGTGGCTCATGTTCGCCAAGGAGGGGCTGCCTGTTGTCCTCTGCTGAACCCTCACAATAACCCATGGAGGCTGGTCACGCGATCATCCACGGTTTAGAAATGAGGAAACTTGCAGAGAGGTTCGCTGACTTACCCAGCATCACCCAGCCAGAAAGTGGGGGACCCCAGGCTCATAAGGGGGAGGGTGTGCAAGCCTCCTGAAACCACCTGGAATCTGCGGCTGCTCAGGGGAAGAAGCGGTATCGCTGGCCTGGCCACATCGCTGGCAGCTCAGCCTGTCCAGGGCTGTGTGGTGTCACTTGGCTGTGGCGCTCACATCCTGTGACATTTGCCTCTCCCCAGTCCCCAGAGCTCACCCTGCTGGCGGCTCTGCTGAAAAGAGCTCTAGGAAGGGCCGGCTGGGTCTATGAGGTGTCTGCCTGCAGCTGGATGGAAGCAACCCACAGCTTGTCCTCGCAGAGTGCGTGCGTGTGTGTGCACGCGCATGCATGCAAGCCTGTGTTCCAACTGGGCAGTAGCGTGTGGGAAGGGAGAAGCGTGACACTTGTTTTTGACAGTCTGCTGACTGCTCAGTAGCAGCGGCGGTGGCCTCCTTTGCCCCCAGCTGCTCTGCCATTTCTCTCTTTACGATCCTGCCTGATCCTGAGCAGAGATAAAAGGAGATTTCCGCTTCTGCTCCCTGAGATCCAGGCGCAGACCCGGCAGGCAGGCAGCCCGGCAGGCACTGCCTCACGGCCATTCATCTTCCCAAGCCCCCCTCCTCCCACGTGCATCTCTCCTTCCCCTCCAGCTCCCACTGCTCACCCACTGCTAGGAGCGAGGCCTCTGTCTGGCCAGCCACCTGCCCCTTGACTTTCGGAGCTGGAGGAGCTCTGTAGACAACAGGGAAGGCTGAGATGCCGCAGACTCGGGGAACCCACTCTCAAGGGACAGGGAGGAGGCACAGCCTTCTGCAGGGAGCCTGGCAGTTCCGTGGGAGCCTCAAAAAGTAGGGCAGGGTGGAGGCAGGGGAAGGGTCGCACCAGGGGAAGGAGCTCCGCGCTGGAACCGAGTCAGAGCCCCACTGCCCATCTGACATGGGCCACAAGTTCGTGACCACCTGTCTCAGCTCCCGTCAGCCTGTCTTTCTCTGGGAGGCATCACCGTCCTGGTGACAGGACTTACAGGCTGAGGGCCAGAGGGCACTGTTCCCAGGACCTGGCCTGTGTTCCCTGATCCTATCTTTGCATTCATTCTCTAATGTCTTTGCCATATTCCTGTCACTTCATCCTGGCTGCTGCTCTCTGCCTGTCTCCTTCCACTGGGCTGAGGAACTGTCAGAGCAAGGTCGGCTCGCTGCACCGGGGCTGGCTCACCGCCCAGACACACATCCACAGAGTGACACCCCTTTGCAGCCCTGTTCTCAGAGTCTGCCCAGGAGGTGAAGGCGCCCCTGGGGACCATTAACCGGAAGAAGGGAGGGAAAGCGAGAGGAAGGGGCTGCTGGGGGTGGGGGGAGGTGTCTGCTGGGCTTGGAGGCTGCCCAGGCCCTGGCAGCCGGAGTGCCATGTGGGCTGGGTGGGAGGGGCTCTCTCCCCCAGGGAGCAGGCTGGCTTTGGTGGGAGCAGATTGTGTTTACACCTTCCCCACACGCCCGGCCCACGCTCGCCTCTTATTCTCAGGGCTCTCCCACCCCTGGGCTCTGCACAGTCTGCATGCTGGCAGCTCCTATTGCAGAGTTGCCACCCTCAGCCGAGAACTCCTCTTCAGGAGGCTGCCCGGGGCTGAGGCGCCCCTTCCTCGGCCCACTATCTCTCATCCCAGCAGCTGGGCTGAAGCCCATGCGGGGGGTGGACCCAGTGTTCCCAAGAGACTGAGTCCCTCTCCCTCCCATTTCCTTAGAAAGAGCCGCTGCTTGGTAATGAGAGCAGAAAAGTTCAGGAGCTTGGTAGGTCAGCTATAACAAGAAGGAGGGGATTAAGGGCGACTCAGGAGGGAGAGCTGGGTCCCTCCTGGACCAGGGTGTGGGCTGTTAGGAAATAATGATCAGGGATTTGAGAGCGAGGGGCCCAGGGATGGAGCACCAGGTTGAAATCTTGACTCCACCTCCACTTCATACCTCTGTGGCCTTGGGTACGTTACTGCATGTCCTGTGCCTGTTTACTCATCTATAGCATGGAGATAATAGTTTCCTGTCTCACAGGATTGATGCTCAATTAGATAATGTGTGCGGCGTGTTTACCACGTTACTAAGTGTTCAATAGATGTGAGCTAGTGGGATTGTGTTTGTAAACTGTCAGTTACTGAACAATTACAGAATAATCAGTAGGTAAATCTAACAGCTAGGGTCCCTCCCCTCTTTCCCACGGCCCCTCCTGGCCTGTCTTTCCACATAGACGACCACCAGGCACTGGGCAACTCTGAAACACACGGGAGGACGGCAGAGAGTGGCACTGCTGGGTGGGGGCCACCGAGTAAGACCTAGCACCCAGTGAGACGGTACAAGAGCTGGCTGCTGTTGCTTCTGGGTACCTAGAACCCCGTCCCAACCTCCAGGGGGTGGGGACGGTTCTGGCCTGGACACCTGCCCCCCCCCAGAGGCTCCGCTTCTCAGCTCCGGAGAAGACAGGCGGCGGTTGCCCTGATGCGCTTCCACCCTCCGTCTGAATGCTAATCTCCCTGCCGTGGGAGCCTGAGGGACAGGGAAAAGGTTGCTCGGAGCTGCAGGGAGGCCGAGGTCAGCAGCCGGAGGCAGGGAGGTACTGTCTTCTGCGACTTCTGTGGCTGAGGCTCAGGGCCGCCGCCAGTCTCTCCTGGAGCTGGGAGAATGGGACACGACCAGAGAGCTGACAACGTGGCGGGGGTGGGGCGGGCGAGCAAGGGAGGCAGCCGCAACAGCGCCTGGCGTGACCTGGGGTGCAGATGTGACCAGGGAGGGTACCAGCCCATCCCAAACGTTGTCTACGGACAGGACGGTCCTGGGCAGGGGCAGAGAGCAGAGGCCCGGTCCTAGACTGGCAGGACACAGCCCCATCTGAGGCAGCCATGATGACACAACACGACAGCAGGGGGCCCAGCTGACCCCACGGCTCCCGGGATCCCCTGTGCAGGTGCCCCACTGCTAGAGAAGCCCAAGACCTTGAGATAGAGCCTCAGCAGGAGAAGACCCAAGAGGCTGATACCGAGGTTTACTTTGGGGATAATGATACTACTACTATTATTAATAATGGCTAATAGGTCTCAAACACTCTGTGCCAGGCGCTGTGCCAAGAGCTTTATTTATAAGCACTGTCTCATTTATGAGGCAGGAACTGCTGTTAACCTCATTGACCCAATAAGGAAAGTGAGGTTCACAGAACTCACTCAAGGTCACTCACAGCTGGTGGCAAAGCCAGACCTGCGCCCGGGCAACGTGATGCTGGAGCTCGCGAGCTGGCAGGGCAGGAAGGGCCTGAGTCTCGAGGAAAGCCAGGGCGAGCCGGCCTCCAGGCACAAGGAACGAGTCGTGGCCCCACCTGGGCGGTGCCTCTGCAGGCAGGCCAGGAGGGCGGCTCTGCCAGGGTTACCTCTGTGCTCTCTCTTCTGGAACCCATGGTTCAAGGGTAGACACTTGGTCCTGAAATGGCCAGTCCTTGCCTGCCAGCTGACAGGAGAGAGAAGAGCGGGCTCTGCAGGATCTGTCATACTCTCGGGGAGGAGGCAGCGGCCGCCGGCAGGGGTGACAGACAGAGGCCAGCACTCAGAGCCACTGCCAATCTGCTGTCCCCTTCAACCAGGGCAGAAAGAGAGGACACAGCCAGCAGCCTGGCTGGAGGGGAGCTGGAGGAGGTGGAGGGCTTCGAGCAGGTGGCTTCGAGAGGGAGCCCCTGACTGAAACTGGAAACGAGTCCTGGTACATAAGGACTGCAGACCCTCTCTGTGGGATGCACATGCCCCCTAGTGGGGACTAAGCCTAGACGGTGGACAGAAAATTAAAACAGAAGTAACTGATGACCATGACCTGTAAGCCTGGGTGGGAAGGGCCAGTCCCATTCTTTGGTGAACACACACACGTCCATTTAATGTCACATGCAGAAGCCAGCTGAATTAAGCATTAAAGGAGACTATTAACGTATTCACTTGCTTGTTTATATGACAAGCACACATTGGGAGCCCACAATATACAAATCTTGTATTAGGTGTTGGGAGTGAGACAGCGAAGAAGGACAGTGCCTGCCCTGCCAGTTAGAACAAGACCAAG